GAAGATATGAGGTCAAATAAGCACTTGAAGGGATGCTCAATATCATTAGTCATTACAGAAATGCTAGTTAAAACCATAATGAAATATCAGTACATATGCATTAGAATAGGCAAAATTTTTACAAACTGATGATACAAGTGATGGCAACAGTGCTAAACAATTGAAACTGACATATATTGCTGGTAGGAATGTAGCATGGTATAGGAACTTTGGAAACCAGTGTGCCAATTTCTTATAAAGTTAAACATCCTCTTACCATATAAACTAGCAATCCCACTTTTGAGTATTTAGTCAAGATAAATGAAAACATGTGTTCACTCAAAAAAATCTGCATGGAAATGTTTATAGCAGCTTTATTTATAGTTCCCTATACCTTGAAGTAATCCAGATGTCCTTCACCTGGTAAATGCACAAACAATTGTAATATATCCCTGCAATATATTACTTACCAATAAAGAAGAACTAGGAATACATCCAACAGCACAGATGAATTTCAAATGCTAAGTAAAAGAAATCAGATTAAAAGTCTTCATATACAAGTGAGTCTATTTATGTACTATTCTGGAATGTACAAAACTATAGAGGCAGAAAACAGATGAGCTTTTCCCAGGAGCTGGAGGTGAGAGGAAGAGTTTGCTATAGAGCAACATAAGGGAACTTTTTTAAAAAAAGTCCTGAGGTGATTTCCAGGGTCCAGAGTTAACTCTGTGTGTGTCTGCATTCGTGAACACAGATAAGCATGAATGTTCTTGGCCATAAACTTTCCGTTTTATCATCCTAACATTAAGTGCCTATTGAAAAATGTCTCTTTTTATTGCATATTTTTTAATTACTTTATTGTTGTTCAATTACAGTTGTCTGCATTTTCCCACCACCACTCTCCCCCACCCCAGCCAAACCTATCTCCCTCCTTTGCTTCCAACCTCCCCCTTGGTTTTGTCCATGTGTCCTTTATAGTAGTTCCTGAAACCCTTCTCCCCACTGTCCACTCCCTCCTCCCCTCTGGCTATTGTTAGACTGTTCTCAATTGTCTCTGGTTATATTTTGTTTGCTTTTTTCTCTTGTTGATTATGTTCCCGTTAAAGGTGAGATCATATGGTATTTGTCTTTTACCACCTGGCTTATTTCACTTAACATAATGCTATCTCTCCAGTTCCATCCATGCTGTAGCAAAGGATAGGAGCTTCTTTCTCCCTGCTGTGTAGAATTCCATTGTGTAAATGTACCACAGTTTTCTGATCCACTCACTTACTTATGAGCACTTAGGTTGCTCATATTTTCAAAAAGGAAGACAAAAGAAGTTTGCATTTATTCTTATTTGGAAAAGAAGAATTTTTACTTTGTAAATCTGAATTAGAAAGTCTATATTAATCTCAAAGGAAGCTTTCAAGGTTCATGTTTCATAACTTCTTTAGTGACATTTGAAATTTTGTTGTTAATTTTAGGTTGTTAGAAGTTGTTTCCTTTATGATTAATTCCACCATAAACCATATTGCCACTACTTTTTCCAACTTGGTTGAGCAGTGGTTTGCCCTGTGACCTCATTTCTCTCATCTGAAAAATCTAAAAAGAGTTACTGATTTTTCAGTTTGTTTAGATTTTTACTTGTTAGGGTGGAGTAGCAACTTCTCAGCTCCTTAACTTGACACTTCTCCAACAAAGATATACAAATAGTGAACAAGCAAATGCAAAAATGTTTGACATCGTTAGTCATCAGGGAAATGCAAATCAAAACCTCAAGAGATACCACTTCACACCTACTGGGATGGTTAGAATCAAAAAGTTGGATAACAAGTGTTGTCAAAGACAACATAGAGAAGTTGGAACCCCTTGAATACTAATGGTTGAAATGTAAATAGTTCCAGCTGTTTTGAAAAACAATCTGGCACTTCTTCAAATGATTAAACATAGAATTAGCATATGACCTGGCCATTCAACTCTTTTAGGTATGTGTCTAAGAGGAATGAAAATATATGTGCACACAAAAACTTGTGTATGAATGTTCATAGCAGCATTATTTATAAAAACCAAAAGTTGGAAATAATCAAAATATCTATCAACAGATAAATGGATAAAAAAATGTGCTATATCCTTACAGTGGAATATTTTTGAGCCTTAAAAAGGGATAAAGTATTGATGCATGCTTACAACATGGATGAACCTTGAAAACATGAAAGAAGCCAGTCACAAAAGACCATGTATTATGTGATTCTACATCTATGAAAGCTCAGAATAGGGAAATCTTTAAAAACAGAAAAAAAAGATTAGTGGTTGCTTAGGGCTGAAAAGGCAGGACAGCATTTAAGAGAATGATAGCTAAAGGATACAGACAGGAGTTCCTTCTTTTTTAAATTGGGATATAATTGACATATAACATTTTAAGAGTACAACATAATGATTTGATATATGTATATGTTGTGAAATGATACCACAATAAGTTTAGTTAACATCTATCACCACACATAGTTACAATATTTTTCTTGTGACAAGAATGTCAAAGAATTATCCTCTTTGCAACTTTCAAATATGTAATATAGTATTGTTAACTGTAGTCCCTGTGCTGCACATTACATCCCGGACTTATCTTACAGCTGGAAGTTTGTGTCTGACCACCTTCCCCCATTTCACCCGCAGCCCCAAGGAGTTCCTTCTATAAATGAGGAAAATTTTCTAGTATTTACCATGGTGATGGTTGCACTATCTGTGAATATATTAGAAATCACTGAAGTGGTGTAAATGGGTGAATTATATAGCATTATGCATTATATCTCAATAAAGCTGTTAAGTAAGAAATTAGGATATTTTTTTAAATGTACATAATAACCATCAAGTTTAATGGCAAGAGACCAAGTGTTTACAAGTGGCACCTCTTCCAACGCCCCCACTTCTCATTTCCCTTTTGCAATCCAAACCTAGTGGTGAGGGTTCAGCAGCGTGTGGTGCTGCCAACACTCTTTAGAGTCAATCCCACCTCTAGTGATCTAACTCAAGCTAAAAAAGAAGGGGGTAGAGGTAGGAGAAGGGATTTCTCTAAACCATGGCTCATACCAGGCATAGTCTTCCAGTCAACTGGGTGGTAAACAACAAAAGCTTCTCCTGTGCACTCTCCTGGAGGGGTGAAGAAACTTCATTGTTGCAGGCCTGGTGCTGGCATGTGAAATTAGATCGCTCTAACTTCAAAACAGACCTGGGTTTCTGGAGCACAGCTACTGGTGCTCTGCAGGAGAAAAGTGAGGCCTATGGTGGGGATACCTGTGTGCTGTCTGTGACAGTGTGGAACAGTTGTGCCATTAAGACCTTCTACAGACATGTTGTACACCAGCAGAATGTGTCCCATAGATGGAGAGTGTGCTTAAGAACCCTTTTTAGCCCTGGCTGGGTGACTCAGTTGGTTGGAGCATCATCCTGTACACCAAGGGGTTGCATGTTGGATCCCTGATTAGGGCACCTAACTAGGTTGCAGGTTTCATGCCTGGTTGGGGTGCATATGGGAGGCAATTTATCAATGTTTTCTCTCTCATCGATGTCTCTCTCTTCTTTCCTCTCAATCTAAAAATCAGTAAACATATTCTTGAATGAGGATTTTTAAAAAAGAATCCATTTTAATGGCAAGCATTTCATTCTCAACCACCCTCCCCTCTACCAAACCCAGTCTCTTCCCCATCATTGGTAGTTCTGAACATTAGATTTTTTTTTTTACCATGAGGTCAGAACGTACCTAAGTATATGATTGTAAATAGTAAAACAGGAGACAGAATTGGGTATTAGCAAGTATTTTTCATTTTCATTAGTGTGTGAAGTTTTAATATAAACATAGAACTATAAAGCATTAAAGAATTAGTTTCTTTTTAAACAAGTAGATTTTTATTGATGAAAACTGAATAGTGTCTGTCATTTTACCATACTCTAGTTCCATTCATTCACTGTACTTTTCTAATAGATTTGACATGCAAGTACATGTTTTTAGTGTTGTCTATACTATTCCTATATGTTTGTTATCAAAATACATGTAATTTTTAAACTTACATGAAAATTTATGTTAATAAGTTTTAACTTTATCAAATTGCCACCTCTTTGTGCTACAATACCACCAAAATCCCATTAAAATGATAGTTATTTCCTTATTAATATTAATAATGATAATACAGCCTAACAAGAATTTTTCCGTTGTTAAATAATTCTCTAACAGCTAATTTTCAATAGAAGCACCATTTGAAGATGGTTGGGAATTTTGTGAGGAAGTGTTTGGGTTGTCACAATGATGGGGGTTGATTTTCGGCCAGCTGTCCTATTTGGTAGATCCACTAAACCTAAAGATTTAGATTTCAGCCCCTGTCTTAACACCTGCCACAGCATTGGTCCTTCCAATGAATTCCTCATCTTCTCGATGTTTAGAGGATAAATTAACTTTTGCAAGCATTTTAAATTGTAGCTTCCTTTTTACCAAGTGAGCGACCACTTGTCTGTATTAACTTCTAAATGTTTTATCCTCTGCTGTTTCCTATCCCACCTTCTTTCATCGTGGGTTTGTGGTTGTTTTGGGGGGGGTTGTTTTAGTTTTTTTTATTTTCCTTTGCTGTTAGTGTGAGATAATATCTCCTTCTGAGGGTATGGAAATGAATTAGGTGGTTTGTTTGGTTGTTGACCGGCTGGTGTCTGGCAGTTAGTAGTGGCTAGCTAGGGATAGATCTGCTAAACATGCTGCCTGCCATGTGTGAGCCCACTCAAAATGTCAATAGTTGTCAGTTACCGTTCATTCCAGCCTTGCCTGAACTCAGTGTAAACAGTGTGTTTAGACACTAATATTTTCTTAGCTGAGCGTTATGTATAATCTTATTCATTACTATTTCTCAAGCTGAGCTGTTTGAAACTATTTTGCATTCAAAACTAACAGTTAAAGCAGTATCATGGTTTCTTATTAAGAGGAAGAATGCATTGAATAAATTGTTTCCTTACTCTAGCATTCAGCTCTACTACATGTTTATTCTTCATATTAACAGATATTTTGGTAAAAGGCCTCAGTGGGATTGTAGAGGAGCGTCAAATCTTAATGAACTTCATCAGTTATTAAGTGACATAATGATTAGAAGGCTAAAGAATGAAGTTTTAAGCCAGCTGCCCCCTAAAATCAGACAACGTATTGCTTTTGATCTTCCATCAGCAGCAGCTAAGGTGAGAACCCTTGTTTGATTGAAAGTCTTATTTTAAATAATTTTAAATTACACTAAGAAAGATTGCATGTATTTCATATTTTACAGAAGGAAAAAGTCTGCTTTCTTAATATTGCTTTAACTAATAGAGCATGTGAATTGGCTTTGTATTATTTTAAGAAGCGAGCAAGAAGAATTTAACTCGAGTCATTAAATAATATGAAAAGATTTGGTATCCTAGTGATTAAAATATATTTCTGCTGAATAGAGAAAGAAAATTACTTCGGTTAGAACAAAGGGTTTAGTATTAAGAATTCTAAGCATCTGTGGAGTATGAAGCAAGGGAAGTTGGGTTTCTTCCTTTAGGATTTTTAAAATATATAAATAGCTGTCCTCTACAATAACTTAGATACAGCCCTGTTCTTGAAATCTTAAAACTCTGTGATCATGTAAAATGTGAAGTTAAACATATCAAAAAAACAAATTACATTTTGGGTAGTGCAATGCTTATATATTCTCTGAAATTTCTTCAAGTCTGTATGTAACTTTGTTAGCAACGACTATTTATTGCATTGTTTTGTTTTGAAATTTTAGAGTAAGCATTCCATAAACATTGAGCAAAGTTATTGGAAAAATAATGATCCAATTTCCTTTATTCACTATTTTAGCATGAGAAGGAAAAATAAAGAGAATATATGTTTATATTATATTTTTGTTTTACTAATATGCTCCCAGTCTTTATGTTTATTTAAATAAAATCATATCATTTTATTAAAATACTTTGCTACCATACACATTTTCAATAGTCTGCTTTCTTATGGATTTACATTTTTATGCTTACTTTATAAAATGTTTCCCCTTAAGAGGAAGCTACAATTGCTTGATTTTGATGTTAGCAAATTATTTGGTTTTCACCCACAGCTTATCATTAGTTTCTATCATTGGTGCAAACATGTGACTGACCTGCCTCCATGTTGATGTTTTTAAATGAAATAAACATATTGGCATCTTTACAAATTTTCTTTTTATATCTTTATATATAAAAATTAAGGTAGGACACAATTCATTACTGCATTAATTGTTCTGTTCTTTATGCTGCATTTCTAAACATTGTTATTTTCTCCCACATAGGAATTGAATACCAGCTTTGAAGAGTGGGAAAAATTAATGAGAGCTTCAAATTCAATTGCTTCTGAGACTATTATGGGGTTGATTACTCGCATGTTTAAACAAACTGCTATTGCCAAGGTACTCATTGCTGGGCCATTGTGTGTTTGTCTTGATATAAATTATTTAACGTATTGTACTGTTTTTGCATAAGCAGTTTATTTGCTTATTATAACATGTCTTTAAACTCTTTATAATTAAAAAATTTAGACATGTTCAGAGTAAACAAAATAGTATATTGGACACTCTCATACCCATTCATATATTGATCTTTTCCAATGTAAGAGTACACTTTGATAATGTTTTATACTTTAAAGGACATAAGGTCATACATATATTCATCTTTATTATTGCTTTTTCTATGGCTTTATTATATAACTGCTACACATAATCTTTCTTGGTTGTTTTTTTTTTAAAGGAATAATCTTGTGGGACTGCATCCTGAAACTATGTGGTTTGTGCTAACTCTAGGAGTTAGTGAGAGTTTAATTGAATTTTTAGACACCTTTTTGTTTAAGAGAATTAGAGAATTGGTGTAGAAAAATGGCGTTTAACTGGTGTTAGAAAACACCACGCATAATATCTGCTCTTGCCAATGTGTAATTCAATATGGGGCTCAGCATTTCTTGATATTTGGCAGAAAGAACCTTCTTTCACCAAAGCATCAGTGAGTCAGATTATGCCGAAGGTTTCAAAGGGGATGTTGGTTATTTTTTTTGTTTTTTCGTTTTTTTGTTTTTTAAAATATATTTTATTGATTATGCTATTAGAGTTGTTCCATTTTCCCCCCTTCACTCCCTTCTCCCTGCACACCCCCACCCACCCACATTCCCCCACTTTAGTTCATGTCCATGTATCATACTTATAAGTTCTTTGGTTTCTACATTTCCCATACTATTCCTACCCTCCCCCTGTCTAATTTCTACCTACCATCTATGCTACTTATTCTCTGTACCTTTTCCCCCTCTCTCCCCCTCCCACTCCCCTCCTACTCCCCTGTTCATAACCCTCCATGTGATCTCCATTTCTGTGGTTCTGTTCTTGTTCTGGTTGTTTGTTTAGTTTGTTTTTGTTTTGTTTTTGTTTATGTTTTAGGTGTGGTTGCTAATAATAGTGAGTTTGCTATCATTTTACTATGCATGTTTTTTATCTTCTTTTTCTTAGGTAAGTCCCTTTAACAGTTCATATGATAAGGGCTTAGTGATAATGAACTCCTTTAACTTGACCTTATTTGAGAAACACTTTATCTGCCCTTCCATTCTAAATGAAAGCTTTGCTGGATAGAGCAATCTTGGATGTAGGTCCTTGCCTTTCATGACTTGGAATACTTCTTGCCAGCCCCTTCTTGCCTATAAAGCCTCTTTTGAGAAATCAGCTGCTAGTCTGATGGGAACTCCTTTGTAGGGTATTGTCTCAGCTGCTTCTAGGATTCTCTCCTTCATTTTTACTTTGGCTAATGTAATTATGATGTGTCTTGGATCTTCTTGGATCCAACTTCTTTGGGTCTCTCTGAGTTTCCTGGACTTCCTGCAAGTCTATTTCCTTTGCCAGAATGGGGAAGTTCTCCTTTATTATTTGTTCAAAGAACTTTTCCACTTGTTGCTCTTCTTCTTTTCCTTCTGCTACTCCTATAATTCAAATGTTGGAACGTTTAAAGATGTCCTGGAGGTTCCTTTATTTCACTTAGCGTATACTTCATTTTTTCATCTAATTTGCAACCAAATTCAACCAATTCTGTGAGCATCCTGATTACCAGTGTTTTGAACTGTGCATCTGATAGTTTGGCTATCTCTTCATTGCTTAGTTGTAATTTTTCTGGAGCTTTGATCTGTTCTTTTGTTTGGGCCATTTTTTTTGTCTTGACGCACCTGTTACAAGGTGAGGGGTGGAGCCTTAGGTGTTCACCAGGGCAGGGGAACCCACATTGCTGCCTTGTGACATTGTATGAGGGGGCAGGGTCCAAGAGGGAACAGTGGCACTTGTTCTGCTCTCTACTGGATTTCAGTCAGTTCCCCTGCTTCCCACAAGCAAATTGGGCCCTTCTGGTGCTGATTCCCATGTGGGTGTGTTTGCGTACATTCCAGGACCCTGCGAGTCTCTCCAACAAACTCTCCTGTGAGGCTGGGAGTTTCTTCCTGCACCTCAACCTCCACAGGTGTTTTCAATCAGTGTTTTGAGGCTTTATTTCCCCATGCTGTGGTCCTGGGTTGTATGGTCTATCCCACTCCCCAGTTTTGCCTGTTTTATCTGCAAGCGAATGTGGGACTGCCTGGTCTGCCAGCCTCCTTGGGTGCTGTGCCCCTGCACAATCCACTGCCTTGCTGGGTCTGCCAGCCAAGGCTTTGCCGCAAGCCTTCTCCACCTCGGTTGCCTGATTCCACCCTTCCTACTGGTCTGGATGAATGTGTCTTCTTTAACTCCTTGGTTGTTGGACTTCCGTACAGTTCAATTTTCTGTCAGTTCTGATTGTTTTTTGTTTTTAAATTGTTGTTGTCCTTCTTTTGGTTGTGCGACGAGGCAGTGTGTCTACCACACCTCCATTTTGGCTGGAAGTCAGATATTGATTATTTTTCATTGGAATTATGTTTTTAGTTTTCTACAGAGATAGATGTGCTCATTTGTTCTTCTAAAAAGTGTTAGAGTTTTTAAATCTCAGTATGCCTACCAAGTAGACTTATCACACATTGTTTTCACCAGTGCAGTGGTACTTCAACATCCTAATGAGTGTTGTGTCTCTCCAGTTCTGAAATATTTTCTAACATCATTTTCAAATGAGGTTTATTGAGGTATAATTTACATATGATGGAATTTGTCCTTTTAAAATATATAGTTTGATGAGGCTTAACAAATATAGTCAAGTAAACAGCACTACAATCAAGCTAAAGAATATTTTCTTTACCCTAAAAAAGTTTTCTTATGCACCTTTGCAGTCATTTCCCTTGCACTCACCCTTCTAGACCTTGGCAGTCACAGGTCTGCTTCTATCGCTACAGGTTTGCATTTCCCAGAATGTCTCAAAAATGGAATCATGTAGTATTTAGCCTTATTTCTGGCTTCTTTCACTTAATGTAAAGCTTTTGAATATTGATCCATGTTTTTGCATGTCATTAGTTTTTGTATTTATATTGCTGAATAATATTCCAATGGATAGTTATAAAAATTCTTTAATTCCTTTACCAGTTAATGACTATTCGGAGTATTCTCAGGTTGGGCTGTTGTAAGCCCAATACTATCATTCAAGTACAGGTCTTTATATGGACATTGTTATTTTCCTTGAGTAAATAACTGGAAATGGTACTGCTGGGTCCTATGAAAAACATAAGTCTATCTTTATAAAAAGCTGCCAAATTGTTTTCCAATGGGCTATACCATTTTGCATTCCTATAGACAAATATACAAGATTTCCAGTTCCAACATTTTTGTCAGCACTTGTTATTATCATTCTTTTTAGTTTTAGCTATTCTAGGATATAGTGGTATTGCATTGTTATTTTCATTTGTCTTTTCTTAATGACTAACGTCATTGAACATATTTTCATGTGCTTTTTAACCACTCATTTTCTTTTGAAAAGTATCTATTCTTATCAAGCCCACATTTCTTGCCATTCCCTTCTCGCTTGTAATGTTTTTCTTGAAAAGTCAGCTGCTAGCTTTATCAGGGCTCTCTTGTATGTTACTTCCTGTTTCTCCCTTGCTGCCTTTAAGATTCTTTCTTTGTCTTTGAATTTTGCCATTTTAATTATGATGTGTCTTGGAGTGGGCCTCTTTGTGTTCCTCTTGCTTGGTACCCTCTGTGTTTCCTGGATTTGTGTGACTTTTTCTCTCATCAAATTAGGGAAGTTTTCCATCATTACGTCTTCAAACAGATTTCCTATCCCTTGCTCCTCTTCTTCTCCTTCTGGTATCCCTATTATATGGATATTATTATGTTTCATGTTGTTCTGCAGTTCCCTTCATCCCTCTTTGTTCTTTTTGAGTCTTTTTTCCTTTTCTTGCTCTTTCTTCTACCTTGTCCTCCAGCTTACTGATTCAGTCCTCTGCTTCATTAAGCCTGCTTTTGATTTTTTTCTGTAGTCTTCAATTCAGTAGTTGAATTCTTCATTTCCTCTTGGCTCTTGTTGATAGTTTCTATGTCCTTTTTCATGCTGATGTAATTTGCAGTAAGTTCCTTGTAGCTTCCCTGTAGTATTCTATAGTTCCCTGTAGTTCTCACTGAGCTCATTGAACTCCCTTATAACCATTATTTTGAACTTAGTATCTGATAGTTGACTTACCTCTATTCCATTTAGCACTCTTTCTGAGCATTCTTCCTTTCCTTCTGGTTGGGGTTGTTTCTCTTTCATTCCATTATTTGTAAGACTCTTCTTGTTTGCTTCTGCTTCTTAAATTGATGTGTTTTAACTCCCTGACTTTGTGGTGTGAACTTTAATGGTAGGAGAATCTCTGTGAGATTCAGTAGTTCAGTCTCCTTGACCTCCTGAACTTGATGCTCTTGGGATGACATTTATGTTGTTTATGCTGGCTTTCTGGATGTAATTTGGTTTTGATTGATGTTGGGTCATTCTTTGGTGGGTTGTTTCCTCCAGCTGGCTGACTGAGGATCACTCCACCTACCACATCTTGTATACTCTTGTGCAGGTGCACTGTCTTTTCCTTCTGGATCCACCTCTGGTGATGTTAAATGTTGACCCCATCTGACCTTAGGCAGCCTGTTTGAGACTTCCAGTGATCTGCTTTTTATGGCTTTTCCCTTCAGTTGTTAATCTAGTCACTCTGCACTCAGCAGGCAGGCTTAAGCACCATAGGATGGGGTAGAATCTCTCATGGTATTGAAGCTTTTGTTTCCCCTCAGGCTGCTACTGCTCAGGGGAGTGGTCTGCCAGAGCAGGGTGGCTGTTGCCATATGGGGGATGACTCAGCACCAGGATCCCGATGTCTACTCAGTTTTCTCCCCAAAGCCTCCGTTCCCAGTCTCTCCTCAGGCATCTCTAACCTATTCTCTTCCCACCTTTGCCAGAGCCCTGGGTAAATGAAAATTTGTGCATTGGCCCTTTAAACAGATCCTTTCATTTCCAGCCTTCA